TCTTGGACGAGTTGGGTCTTGCGGTGCAGGAGGTGAGCGGCGGTTCGGCTTGCCGCCGGGGTGCCGTCTTGCCGCAGGGTGGCATTCAGGACAATCATGTCCAGAATCTCTGGCGTCGTCACAAAGCGTGACCGCTGGCGCTTTACGTAGGCAATGGCGCGGTCAAGGTCTGTTGATGGTGTTGGCTTGGTGGGCATGAATGGTAGTGAGCATTTGGTGTCGATTGTCATGTGAAAAAGCCGGTGCATTACTTACATGCATGTGCAATGCTTGAAACTTTACAATTTTGTACTTGCCATTGGACGTTTCAATATCATGTTGTGGAGGTTATTGCTTAGCAAGGTGTAAATGGACTCATTTGGAATATTTCAAGCATTGATTTAGCGAGAGTATTGTGATTTGAGGTGCGTTGTACATGGTATTTGTAGGCCGAAACGAGAGCTACATTTCGTCTTTTAACTTTTTTTCTGAGTGTAATTTTTGCAGAAATTATTCCACGAAGCCCCCTCGGGTCTGTCGACTGCTGTCAACTTACGTATGGTACTGTAGTAGTTTGAGTTGGAGGTGTACCCTTCATGGGAAACAATCTCCGACGTCTTGGTGTATTTTTTATCCGACATTAATCGCGATATACTGAAGATTTGAATGTGCGCTTCGAGGGTGTCGTCCCCGCGGCGACTCGAACATCTCACCACCACGCGGGCTCCGCGATCTCACTCGCGACGCTCCTCCGGCGCGCGCTTCGATGTCTCGTTCGTCGAAGTCGAAGTCTTCAGATTCCATAAACGTCTTGGTCGTTCTCCACCGAACGACAGGAAAAGCTGCAACAGCAACTGCTACTAAAGCATTCTTTGTTCTCGCTTCTGGGTCCCCGACTCGGCGAATGAATCGCTGGCGACTCTCACTGTCTTTCAAGGGAAAAGCAAAAAGAATTAGGGCATTAGGGTACTGACTGCACACTTTCATCGCCTACGCCGTACCAGCACTGTACGCCTAAGGTACTACACACTGACACGAATGTTCAAATATTGCGAGGACACCGTAATACGAGTTAATCCCTCTCGTGAGTACAAAACCAACATTCGGGCCCTCTCGTAAGTACAAGAATGTCGCAGAGCATAGACAGCCCAAGAGAGCCAGTGCGTGTCGCTGCTTGTGATGCGCTGTCTGAACTGCTTCTGTACAGTCCATTTTGCAAGCTCGGCCGTGCTGGGCCGTCGCTAAATGGTACCCTATAAGTGGACTTTGTTGCTATTCGGTCACCAAAGATATTGCTCGTTTCAAAACAGTCACTTCATT